TCTTTCGATTCTCTTTCAAGCATTCAGCAAAAGAAGCTAGAGTAAATCTCAGTGGATCCTCAGAACAGGGACTTCTCTTGTTGACATTATGAGAAATCTAATAAATCATTTTCAAAGTATAACACCAGTTGATGGAGAAATTGATTTGATTAAATGAAGTTGTAGTTTAAAATATAATGGCTTGTGAAATAAATATCTACAAACATTCATTTTTTCAGGCTCAAAATGGGCTTTTCTCTGTGGCATTTCAAAGCAGAGCATCAAGCAGATCTGTTTATTTGCATAATGATTCATTATGTAATCTGGATTAGGTTCAGTCAAGTCAAGTGCATGTTCGGATTAGAGGCTAATTTCTCATTGAAATATGTTGGAGCATATTGTATTATGTCCATTTCATCTTGTTTTGAATTCTTCATTTGTTTTTGAAGAAGCCAATAGTTAAAGGGTTAGTTCACCCAAAAATGACAATTCTGTCAGTAATTACTGTCCCTCATGTTGTTCCAACCCCGTAAGACTTTCGTTCATCTTCGGAACACAAATTAAGATATTTTTGATTAAATCTGAGAGCTGGCTCACTCCTCCATAGGCTTCTTAAGGGATCGAAACTTGCCGGCCCAGAAAAGTTAAAGACATCTTTAAAATAGTCCGAGTGACTACAGTGGCTCAATCTTAAAGGATTAGTTCACTTTAAAAAAAACTTTTGCTGATAATTTACTCACCCCCATGTCATCCAAGATGTCCATGTCTTTCTTTCTTCAGTCGAAAAGAAATTAAGGTTTTTGATGAAAACATTCCAGGATTTTTCTCCATATAATGCACTTTGCTGGGCACCAAACGGTTCAAGGTCCAAAAGACAGTTTCAGTGCAAACTGTAAACTGTTCAAAGGGCTTTAAACGATTCCAGACGATGAATAAGGGTCTTATCAAGCGAAACGATCGCTCATTTAAAAAATAAATAACAAAGTTTAAGTTTAATAATGTCAAATGCTCGCCTTGCTCTGTTCTGTGATGCACGTTCGTGACTCTCCTGTTCGAACTCGTTCATCAAAATGAACAAATCTTTTTTCGAGTCATTTGGTTCATTTAACGAACGAAATGAACAAATTGACTCGAAAAAAGATTCGTTCATTTTGATGAACGAGTTCGAACAGGAGAGTCACACAGAACAAAGCAAGGCGAGCATTTGAGCTTATAAAACTTAAACTTTGTCATTTCTTTTTTAAATGAGCGATCGTTTCGCTTGATAAGACCCTTATTCATCGTCTGGTGTCGTTTAAAGCCATTTGAACAGTTTGCAGGTTGCACTGAAACTGTCTTTTGGACCTTGGACAGTTTGGTGCCCCACCAAAGTGCATTATATGGAGAAAAATCCTGGAATGTTTTCATCAAAAACCTTAATTTCTTTTCGACTGAAGAAAGAAAGACATGGACATCTTGGATGACATGGGGGTGAGTAAATTATCAGCAAAAGTTTTTTTAAAAGTGAACTAATCCTTTAAGTTTATCAAGCGACGAGAATACTTTTTGTGCGCAAAAAACAAACAAAAATAACAACTTTTATCAACTATTCATTTCCTTCTCTGTGGGCCTCGAGATTTCACGTAGTGGAACAGCGCAGCGCTTCTGTGTTGTATGTCACACGTAGACTCACTATTGGCCGACGCTGGTCATGTGTGTGATGCGTGTGACGTACAACCTAGAAGCATTTGCGCACAAAAAATAATAGTCGGCAATTATTTTCTTACCTTCATGTTGTTGCTAACCCAGTTATTTTCCCTGTGGAAATCAGGGGAGAATTTTAAAGAATCTTCACAGATCTTTTTTGTGTGCTCAAAAAATGACAAATCTCAAAAATCGAGAAGTTCCAAGTCTTCTGAAGCTTTCAAATCAAATATGGTGCCACAGGTTGGATGTCAATAATTTCAAATCATTGTATCTCATGTGTCTTATGAACAAACACCATCGTGTAATACCGGTATTTGTTTTGAGAGTGAGTGAATAACGTTTTTTTTAATCCACAAGTCACAGTGTTGTGCCAGTTCATATCTATTTAATAGAAAACAGGGAGTTTAAATTATTACAATTTTCTCATTTTGAATTAATTAGAAAAAATAAAACTAATTTGGATAGACATAAGGGTGAGTAAATAATAACAGATTTTGTTTTTGCTGTTTTGATCTATTCTTTTAACACTCTTCAGCTTCGGTTTTCAGCTTTTCTTTCTAGTTTCAAGCAAAAAAGTTCCTATTTTTCCTATTTTCCTAGTTTTATTCATGTTCAAAATGGTTATGTGAATTCGCTGAACAGTACTTCATACATCTCTACGCTATTGACAATGGACCTTTTTTTACTGAAATTTCGCTAATGTGGCCGACTGGCCACACTTTAAGCCTAGAGAAGTTAGTACTTGGTTGTAAACCGTTTCCTGCTGGTTGCATAGCTTAGCCTATGTGACCTTTGGGTGACTTCTTTCACGTTTTTCAACCCCTTACGAAACCAGAGCACCTTGTGAGAGGCTACCATCATCTAACCAACCCCAATCAGCCACACGCCAACCTTCTAAAGAGCAGAAACCTGATCGTGCCATGTTGTTTTTCTTTCTCCCTTCTATCCAAGCCGGCTGTGCAATCGCTCTGGTGAAACGCTGTGATTTGCTCCACTGGGTTTGATATGTGACAGCCCTAGCAAGCTGCCTGCAAACAAGCTCAATTCCCTCATAGACCAGTGTGCCCATGTTGGCCCATGCCTGAGCAAGTATCCTATCTCCGTCTTATGGACGAGGTACCTGGATTCAATTACAGTCCTGCTAAAGATTTAAAATTCACCTCCCCCTTGAAAAGCAGGTGTTAGAGGAGCAGGCAGTAGGAGATAGTTAGAAGATGTAATAGATGGTGTGGAGAAGGCAGTAAGAACAACTACAAACAATCCAAATGAGAGACCGGCTTTTGACTGACACCATGTGACATGCATTGTGAGTTAGGAAAAAATCATACCTCACGCAACTATATACACACACATTTTCTTGATCAACACATTTGAAGCACATACTTTGACATGCATCTTTGCATTACGGTTGGTAACAAACGTCAATGTTCAAGGGGAGGATGGATTTACCCTCAAATGTGCTATTAAACTGGATGTCTTGTTATTCATGAAGCATGTCAACCATTTAACTAAATTAAACCTGGGGTCTTTAAATTAAAACATAAAGGCAGCTGCATATTTGTTATGTATAAAGACCAATTTGAGAATATAATTATAAATATTATAAAGACAACATGCATTTATGTCATTATACTAAAGAATATTTTTTTAAATTATCTGGAAAATTTGGTATATTTTAATATATTTATTCTATGTACATTTAGTATTTGTTTTCGTTTTATAATAATATTTTATTTTAGTAACATTTTACTGTTAAAGTAATGTTAAATGTATAATAATGTATTGAATAAAAAATATTTTTTATATATTAGTGTTTGAGTCAAAATGGAGTTGGAATCGCTTTTTTTGTATCTCCAATACTGGAGACTACAGCCTTTGAAGTTGTGTGATGTGTGATCTTAAACCTCACACATGCAAGTGTACGAATCTGAGATGAGGGCAGATTGTGACCCATTTTCGTTTGTCTCTGTTCAGATATTTAAATCTGTTCTCCCTGGCCAGTCTTGCTGTGAGAACGTCAGAGCGTGTGAATGTGAGTTGGATGGCCACAGTAAAGACGGCGTTCAGATCTCTCTATGTTCAATTAATGAACATCTGGTCCTGATCCACTGAGGCTCCACCAATCCAATCACACTTTTCCCAGGCCTTTGCAGCTCTTCACACTTGGAAAATGCATTTTTGTTATGTAAAAATAAGTCACAGAGAAAGTTTAGCATGTTTCACTCTTTGCTTTAGTTTAATCCTTGCTTAGGTGTTTAAATCTAAGTAAAGGTTAACATGGATAGATCACACAAAACTGAATACAAATGGTAATTTATTTATTTTTTCATTTAAAACAAATACAACGACAGCATTTAACATGAATGAAAAGGAGCAGAAAGAAGTAAAAACTTATAATGTCTGCCCCCTATCAACACAAAATCATTTACAGTTCCAGTTCATTTGAGCTGTCTCATGCAACCGTCTCTTTTCCTAAGACATCAAAACACAAAATTACATCAATAAAGTTGATCTGCTACTCCGCAGTATTACATTTCTACAACATTGATAATTTAACATACTTCTTAAACACATAAATGGACTTTGAAGTTTTAATTTTACAATCAAGACAGACTCCTTTGATTGTGACACATTTTAGTTATCAGAATCAGAGTGCTTCTTTTGTGTTATTTAGATAGTTAATACTTGATTCATCATGAGTAAACGCTATTGATTATTGCATTCCCAAAGTTAACGTGTTTTTACTACCCATTTGATTCCCATTTACAGGCAAAGATGTTGCTTTATATTGTGATTGTTTTCTTTCATCATGTATATTTACGGCTCACTCTTCTTCCCCTGATCTCATTCATATTTATTTTTTCCTACTGACACATGCTAGTTGTATTCAGGTGGTGTTTTATAACACACATTTATGTGTACGTGAGGGCATTGTTTTAGCATACAGTAACATTTCTGTTCATATTTGCCTCAGTATGAGATTTCAATTTAGGGATTAATAAATTTGACACTGTGGATTTCAAGACAATTTGGAAAGTATTTAAGGAACATACAAAATCCACTGCTAAGCCTATTAATGGCAATTACACAACAAAGAGCTGGCAGTGCGTGCATTATTCAGTGGATACCACCAAAGTACTTCCTGTATAGCATACCATCTCTGACAGCTGTGGACTGCAGTCAAGCTGGATGATTTTCTTCAGTTTTATTTTGAAATAGAAACTCACCTGAATATCGTGCATGCTGTCTGGTGGTAAACACTGTCATGTGCATCAGACTCCTTTTCATCATGTTTTTCTCATTTTATTAATGCATGTATCTTTGTATTTCTATAGTGGAAGATAAATCAGGCAATGGGGAACTTAATCTAGATGGGATTGATGAAGATGAAATTGAAAAGGTATGTTATTAATGGGTTTATGGATTTAACTTGTGTATTCGCTTTATCTTGCAAAAATCAAGTTCCTAATCAGTATTTTTGTCTTGTTTTCTGGTAAAAAACATTAAAAACCTCTTTACAAGAAGATAAATTTACCTGGGAAGCAAAACTGTACGATAATAATCTCACTAAATTTTGTTAGATTTATGTCAAAAATCAATAAAATAATTGTGTATATATATATATATCATTTTCTTACTGAAAAACAAGACAAAAATACTAATTAAGAGAAAAAAGTATTTCCAGTATAATACATTACTGTGTTGTTCTCTGAGGATGGAGCTTTAAACTTCACATGACCCTGCTAAATTTCAGAAGAAGTTCAAAAATGTCTGATGTCTTGCATCCCAGATTCACAAATTATCACCTCCTAACGTTACTTCTGTTATCTCTTCTCCAGTACATTCTGAACGAGATAGAGGTGGAGGCAAAGACAGAGCTGTGGATGAAGCAAAATGAGGAGTATTTGAGGGAACAGAAAGGTAAGCAAAAAGGAGAAGAAGAGCTTAGTGCCTGTGCATTTATTAACACAACCCGATTTGACGTCAGAGGCATGTGTCTAACTAGGGAACTGCTCAGCCACAGAGATAAAAAAAAAATAATCTGTGAAAGGAAGGATTTTGTTTTTTAAATACTCAATTGGCACAGTGAACTACTTCAATTTCATCCCACGACTGAACCTTGTGAGATATGGCTCGATATTAAAAAAATACGTCAATGAAAAACACCTGTGATAACTAAAAGATTGACCTTCTGAAGTTAATCTGCTCAAAAGATTGTTGAGTTTTTAAAGCCCTTTATTTTGTATTGCTTTTTGTGTCTACTCTAAAACGCTCCATTTGATAAAGCCATTGTGCTCACATTTGGTTTTATTTTTTCAGAAAAAGAAGAAAGAATAGCTAAAGAGAAGGAACAAGGGACCTATAAGGAGAAGGTGAGTAAGTCATGAGTGTGTGTGTGTGTGTGTCTGGCTCTTACTTATGTCGACATGGGCTTCTCTCCCATTCCGAGGTCTTTATACACTCAGCTGCTAGGGATCCTAGGAGACCGCATACTTTCCATTTGAACTTCGATTGCTCCTCTGGTTTCACCCCAGGCTTTCAGTGCCGCCTCTCCTTAACCTGTCTGCTCTGACATCTGCACTGTGACTCCCAGTTGAGCTTGGATTAGTCAGCCCTGCTCTGCACCTCTAATGAGGTGCCTTGAGCCTGATAGCAATTTCAGATACAGTCGTCCACTTGCTGAGTGTGAAGAGACTTGTTATACTTTGGTAGACGAGGAACATGGTCAGCGGTGACCAGATCAGATGAGCTTGATTGCTTTTCCAGGCTACTAATGGGGTTCTGTCACCTTCTTGTTGACAGCTGTTAGTCTGACATCATTATATCAAGCCCCAATAGAGAAAATGCACTGTTTAAATGATACCCAGATGCCCCCCCCCCCCCTCCAAATAAAAATCCTCACTTAATAAATTAACAGCATGCTTTAGCCTTCAGAAACTGTTTTAGCGAGTCAAAGGACTCTTCGCTATGAAGCAGAGCCATCTAAGCACTGACCCCAATGTTTGTTTTTCACTGTAAACAACTTTTATCTCAATTTGTGTAGCCAAAGAAGCCGTCCAAGAAGCGAGAACCGATCCTGGCCAGCACTGCGGGAGAGGCCATAGAGAAGATGCTGGAGCAGAAAAAGATCTCCAGTAAGATCAATTATGATGTTTTGTGGGACCTCAACAGCAAGGGCAGTGGGAGCAACACCACCCAGCAAGTCGAGGACGTGCCCGCCGGTGGCTCTGGACGCAAGAAGTTGACCCGCCGCAAGAAGCAGCCAAACAAGAGCAATCTCGGGCTCGCTAAACCCGCAAGCCTCATGGGCAAGAGGTGAGAATTTAATGAATAGGGAATCTGTTGTTGTTGTTGTTGTTGTTTTTAACTTGGTTACTGTTGGCTCACACTGTGCTTTGCAACCTTTTCTACTTTTTCATTCCCAGAAACCACTAAGTCTGTCTTTATGTAGTAACAGGGACCCACTCCAAGTGGTAAAGAGCCTCTTTTGTTCCTCAGACAAAGGACATGATAAAAAAGGCAGTTCCCTTGCCCTTGGAGGACTACATTTTTCTTCTTGTCGGCCTCCAACATTTTGTCTTTGCTTTGCTCCTTTGGCTGACCTTCACAGTCATTTCCACCAGGAGAAAGCTTGTCATCAATTTAGTGCCAGGACTGTCTGTCTGCCATCACCTGGCACCCTGTAGTGCATGCTGGGAGCCTGCCCCTTCTCCAATTAATAGTCCTCCAGGGCTCCAAACGTCCCTGTGAGAGAAGTAATGAATATACGACAGACGGAGCGCAAGATCATGACTTCTACACTTTGGCATTGAAAGATAATTTCTCATTGTGTGATGCCTTTCCTCCAGTCCATTTCGTTAATGATAATTACTAATTTCATACTGAATGGTGAGATGATGATGAATCAGACATACGAACACTGTCGGAGACCTCATATTCTGAAGCTTCGAAAAGGCAATTTACTGTCCCCTTTCTTTTGAATCTTATATTCATGAATGTGTTTGAAACAAACTATGCAACTCTCACATTAGTTTTATTACAGTTGATATTTTTAAAATATAAATATAATGGATATCCTGAAGATATAAAAACATAGCAGGCTAGAGTGCTAGTGTTATCATTTGCTTTGTATGGTGGGAATGTAGTATATTTTTAAACATTATTATTATTTTTGTTAAACTACCTTTAAAAGGTTCGGTCTCTTATGCTTACCAAGGCCACATTTATTTGATGATGAATACTGTAAAAACAACAATATTGTTAAATATTATTACAATAAAAAAAAAACTTTTCTATTTTAATAGAATTTTATTCTATATTAATTTATTCCTGTGATGACAAAGCTGATTTTTCAGCATCATTACTCCAGTCTTCAGTGTCACATGTCCAATATGTTGAGTTGGTGCTCATGAAACATTTCTTATTATTAGTAATGTTGAAAACAGTTGTGCTTAATATTTTTTAAATAACTGTTGATGGTTTTTCAGGATTCTTTGATGATTAGAACGTTCAACAGAACAGCATTTTTTTAAACTCAATTTTTTTTAATAATGTACTTTTCTATTTTTATCACTTTTTATTGAGTAAAATTTTTCCTTTTTTAATATTAAGGAATTCTGTGTTTAAGACCATAGGGTACTTACATTTGTAAGCCATATAAAGCTTTTTTTATTTGCTTTATTTGTTAATTTAATACAAAGATTTATTCATGAAAACCCCCAATTGTTGCAAGGCATAATGTAAGTTAACTTACCTTGCTTGAAGTCTTGTTCACCCCATCAGCTGGACGAACCAGCAGAGGCTAGTGTAAAAATATTAAATCATCATAGTCTGATGACACTGTGGAACAAATTGGATGATAAACTTGAATTTAGTTCCAGCTCCAGTTGAGAAAGCTTTTTCCCACTCTTGTTGAATCATGGGAACATTTGTAATGAGCTGCTCTGTGAGGACAAAGACTTTTTTAGTTCTGTTGCCACAACTTGCAAGTAGCAACTGTCTAAGATATTTCACGCAGTACTTTTAGAAACAAATGGTTCAAAAGAGCGAGTAGCCCCTTTTCTTTTCTGGATTGACTGAAGTATGCAGAAATAAATGTCTAAAATTGCTCAGCATTCACAATGCATGCATTACTCTCTGCCAAGGAACTCTCACTCCAGCTGATCAAAGCACATTTCTTCAAATATATTTTGGTATATGAACTGGTATACAAGTTATTTTTGGGGCCTGAATAGACTGACACAGTTCTATTTGCCTGCATAAAGATGCTGCTGTTACTCTTTTTCACTGCCTTTAGCAGCTCCCAGACTCCTTCTAGACGCTCCGCTAACCAGGTAGAATCAGACTTCCATCCCCCTTTTCCAGCCTCAAACACCAGCTGCCAGATTGAACCTCCCCACGACCTCCAAACTAACAGCAACGGAGAAGCTCTCCTCCTGAAAGATAAGAAGATAATTGGCATCCAGTTCCTTTTCTTTAATGTCTTTCCTCGTTTTTTGACCTCTTCAAACCCCCTTCCTTTTCTACCCTTGTCTTTTAGTAAAGGATTATCGTTCTTAAAACTGCCGGGATTTGCTTTTTGAAGTGTAAATCTGATCTCGATGCACAGGGATGACCTGTCTATGCCTCCTTTCTCGGCGTACCTCAGAAAAAGTGACAGCACGACAGAACGCTTCACCTCCCAGCTCCAGCGTGCTGCCTGATCCTGTTTCTGATCCTCGTTTTACAGTAACAGCTACCGCTTTCAAATCAGACTGAAGATTTGAGGAGCAGCATCGACCCTGGGGACTTGGCGGTGAAGAAGTATATGTATTTCTGCTCTGTACCAGATCCAGTCTGGTTTTTTAGCTCCATGACAATGTGAGTGGAGATTGATTTGTAAATGTTAGGTTAAGGTCAGATGGAATGAGTTAGAGTTGTTCCTGAGATATGCTTTCTACCAGGCCTACACTGAGTAAAGCTCACAGCACCTCTCATTTATTTTGCCTGGCGCATCCGGAAATAGCCAGTGAGCCTGTGTGCCCTGATGTGTTTCGCAGATCCTCCCTTTCTGTTTGACCCGGCTCAGTTTCCCACACTAAAATGTCATTGTTTCCACCCTAACATTAGTCCACTTCCAGCAGTATGGCTTTTCGCTCATTATTACAGTGGGCTCTCAATGTCCATATTGTTTGAACCCGTCATTTTGCATTCTTCAGGGCAGGAAACCAAGGCAACCGACTGTGGAGTGTGTCGTTCGGTCCGTCTCAATGGAGCTCCTTGTCGCCAAAAACCTTTCACAACCTCCTAGCAACTAGATCAGCAGAATGAGTCATTTTGTGTGTTTCTAGCGTGGTCACGTTGACCCAGGACAGCATGGAACCGTCTAGCGGTATAGCAAAGTTCTCGGAAGACTTTTGTCACAGAAAATCTCTTGTGGTTGTACTTTAGGCCTAAGTGAGATATGACGGTAGGAAGGACCTCTTAGGATCATCTTGTGCCTGGTTCTCGACCTCTAAGCTCAGTGAAAAGGTTTTAGGCTGGGTCTCTCAGCATGATGGGTTCTAGGATTGAGATCTGTTAGTCCAGAGGATGTCTGGTGGTGGGAGTAAGGGAGCCACATCCTGCTGATGGGAATCAGGTTTGGTCGAGACAAAGCAGCTGGATTGTTTCATTTAATCTTGTGAGGTCATTAGAAATAACTCTGGATTTTAGAGTGGCTATAATGAAATCACAATAATGATGGAACGAAATCCACAGACACCAATGACACCACACGTTTTTTTAGCATTCTTGGGTCTATAAGTATTTTCACATTCATTGTCTTTATAGGGATTTCAACCAAAAAAAGCTATCAACAAAACTGCCCAGCCCTGAAGCAAAAAATATTTGAAAATCAGAGAAAGCTTAAATGCACAAGACTGTTTAATTAATATCTTTCATGTGTCAAAGAACTACCGCCCATGAAGCATTGTGAATGATGCAATACTATTGATTTGGTATTTTTTATAAAACATATACAATTAAATATATTTGAAGTAGAAATAAATAGTATAAATAGTCAGGTATATATAAATATTTAATTTTTGTTTGTTGGACTGATTTGGCTGTCATTTGCAACTATGGGTGTGGCTCTCATTTCTTTGACAACACCGACTTCTCTGATTGGTGGATTCAAGGCGCTGCCATTTCAGGATTGTGGATAGTGTATTTCTTCACAGAGAATTTAAAATATTATTCAAAGTATTTAAAATATATATTTTGATTTCTCACAGACTCTTGACGTCTACAGGAGTACACTACTGTTTAAACGTTTGGGGTTGATAAGATTTTTTTAATTTTGATTTTTTGACTCACCAAAAGCTGCATTTATTTGATCAAAATACAGTTAAAACAGTATTGTGAAATGTTACAATTATTACAAAAATAATATATTTTAAAAATGTAATTTATTCCTGTGATGGCAAAGCTGAATTTTCAGCATCATTACTCCAGTCTTCAGTGTCACATGATCCTTCTGAAATCATTCTAATATGCAGATTTCGTGTTCAAGAAACAGTTGAAAACAGTTGTGGAGACATTTTTTTCAGGATTCTTTGATGAATAGAAAGTTACACCGAACACCATTTATTTTGAAATTAAAATGTTTTGTAACATTCTAAATGTCGATCTTTACTGTCACTTTTGATCAGTTTAATTCATCCTTGTTAAATAAAAGTATTAATTTCTTACTTACTTCGTACTTGCCCCAAACTGTTGAATGATAGCGTATCATCACTTACCAATCTCGGATCTCATGTTTCGAAGGGTTACTGTTAAAATATGGAGAAAATTAATGAGATTTTTACTTCCAAAACTTGGCTGTTGTGCTCTATAGGCCTCCCCACCGAGTCTCACCTCAGCAGATGTTACAAGGCCAGGGTTCTGTTGGTGATGCTGAGAGGCCATCTTGAAAGCTTTGCGTGCTCTCTTACCCTTCTTTTCCATCTGCACTAGAGTCACAGAGGGAGGTTGACTCAGTCACTGCACACTTCTCAAGCTGTATCAGCAGGAGTCTTCTCCCACTCATCTTCCCTGACTGACTTTAAGCCGTTAATGGAAACTTTTTCTCTCTTCTGGTGGCATGGAGCAGGTTTGCATGTACAGATGTTATTATGATTGCAGGTGATAGATCCACCTGTGCACTTTCTTTGCCACTGCAAGGTTTTGATCGCTTTGTTGTACACAAAGCGCTACAGGTTTTGGACGAAAGCTGTTCCTAAGCAGCAGTCCCTATGATGAAAGAAAATTGCTACTTGCCTCATGGAGGCTTTGCGGCATGTCAAATTCTTCATGTG